CAAGGTTGCTATAAAACTAAAATGCCACTGTGTGGAGGAAAAGTAGGATAAATATGTAATAGCTTTACATCTTAAATTCTGATCCCATAATTTTCCATTTAATCTGCTAATTTGCTGTTTATTCTCTTGCTGTTGTGTTTCTTGAAAAGCAGAGGAAAAGTACATGCACAGAAAGTAAAAAAAGTTACATTACAGAGATCCTGGTTGTTTTTGTGAAATGTGGTATGACTATGGAAGCGGGCAGGAGACAACAGGATGGCATTCAATGTGGATACGTGCAAGGTCTTGCACTTGGGGCATAGGAATAGCTGTCATAAGTACAGGTTAGGGAACAAGTGGTTGGAGAGCAGCACTTGTGAAAGGGCCCTTGGGGTACTGGTTGACTGCAGGCTAAACATGAGTCAGCAGTGTGATGCGGTGGTCAAGAGGGTGAACGCCACCCGTGGTTGCATAGCCAGAAGTATGGCTTCTAGATCGAGAGAGGTATTACTACCACACTAGATGACTCTGGTGCGCCCACAACTGGAGTATTGTGTTCAGTTTTGGGCCCCTCATTACAGAAAGGATATAGCTGGGTTAGAGTCAGTGCAGCATAGGGCCACAAGGTTGGTGGCCGGTTTGCAGGGGATGGAGTATGAGGAGAGACTGAGGGAACTGGGTCTCTTCAGCCTGGAGAAGAGGAGACTCAGAGGGGATCTGTTGGCGACATACAGGTATGTGAGGGGATATCATATGGAGATGGGTAGAGACCTGTTCTCCCCTGCAGAGGACGGCAGGACACGCTCCAACGGAGCAAAGCTCAGGGAGCCAAGGTTCCATTTGGATGCCAGGAAGCACTTCCTGACAGTTAGGACCCCGAGGGTATGGAATGGGCTTCCACGAGAGGTCATTGAGACCCCATTGGTGAGGGTGTTCAAAGATAGGCTGGACATGCACATGGTGGGCATATTGTGAGCGGAGAAGGCTGGAGCTGGGGGTCAGACTAGATGGCCCGGGAGGCACCTTCTGACTCGCTCTGTTTCTGTGTTTCTATTCTAAAGGTTATTCTTGTTTGTCTTTTCACTAAAATTACAAAACATCAACAATGTAACTCATGGCTTCAATAACCTGAATTGTATCAGTGCAATGTTTTAATGATAGTGTAACATTACTTTTCATGCTGCTGCTGGAATCTTTCTAATGATAGCAACATTTTTAGCTGCTAGAACAGAACTAGGACCACTTGATGAAAGGAACATAGAAGTGACAGGGAAGTTACATTGACATTTTAAGGCTACAATTCTATACAAACTTATGTAGGAATAAATATTGTACTCAGTAAGAGTTCCAGAGTAGACATGACTGTAAGATTGCCATACATGCTTAGCTAGGACTAAGTATTACTGAACTGGGATTAATGCAATTTGTGTCCTATGGCAACATACATGTTCTTTATAACATAAGTTGTTTGCCACAGTAGACAACATGAAATTGGAATAACCCAGGAAGACATCTTTAACTCCTGGCTCTAAGCCCTGGATTATTAGAACAATAAGATAAAGGAACTAATCAGCTAAGAGGCCATGCATTCTCCTACACATTCAGGATGCAGCTGGATAGTCATCTATTAGGGATGCATTAATTTGCAATCCTGCATTGATCAGGGAGTTGGACACAATGGCCTTCTTGGCCCCTTCCAATTTTACTGTTCTGTGTTTCTGTGAATGTGCAATTGTTTTTTTTTTTAATTGCATAGTGTGTTAATGGTGTGGTTTGTTTCTTTTTCTGTTTTTATAATAAATATAAATAAAACATTTATATGCAGGTCCCAAATGGAAGCTTGTTGCAGGCCCTATCACAAGGAGAGGGGTGAAGAATGTGTGACCCTCCAGATGTTATTGGACTACCACACCTTAGTTTTTATGTTTCTGTATCATCCAGGACTGTTGGCAGTGCTGGCCAGGGCAGATGGTAATTGTAATTCAGCAACCTCAGGAAGACCAGATGTTCCCCAATGCTTACCTAGCCCAAGTGGAAGAGAACAGGGCAAGAGTCTGGGTTGCCCTTAAGTGGACTATGTTCACTGTGCTTGACTACATTGCTGATGGGAACTGAATGTCTTCTCATTCTCAAACTGGCACCATCTCTGTTGTGGAGGTAGCCCTACTTTGCATTTCTCAAATGACAATTAATTGCTTTTGCAATTATTATTGTATGGAATGCAGTTGTGTTCCTGTGTGATATTAGTAGTATTGTGTGACAGTTTCAAAGCATTAGGTGAATATGGCTGTGTGATATTAGCAGTAATGTGTCTTAAAACTCCTCACACCCATGCAAATGTCTCTTTTTGAAAAATCATGGCTTTGGAGACACTATAAAGTCTTTGTGTACAATTGAAGTGGACCATTAATCTGTGTAACTCAAGGATAAAGAGTAGGTAATTATATGTTTAAAAATGCTTGAAGATGACATGTGAATTTTCTATGCCTAACAAATGATGACTTTTTAATCTATTGAAACAAAAAATGAATATTTTCTTCGCAAAATTAATTATATGAATCAGCCACATGCCTGGGATTTTCTTGACAATGTTAAAATCAGCATAACATGTACTAGCATGAATTAATTTTACATAAGTGGCTAATCTGATGGAGAGGCATTTATGTATTTTAAGTTTTTGGAGAGCAGCCACACAGCCAGAATAACACCTGAAACTGACATAATGCAACCTACTTAGCACGAGGATTCAAAACACAGTATAAAAATCAAGGTGCGAGCTGGTAACATACTTGCCCTAAAATGCTATTGGTTCTAAATTTCAGTAAAATCAATTAGTTTGGGTTTGTAAAAAATAAAATAAAATGCTGAAGAAGTAAGCTTCCTTTACTCTGATATACTATAGTCTGTTTCTAAGCCTAACAGGATATACAACCTTCCAGTTTAAAACAGACCACAGACCTTAATCTAACTTAGGGCTGAACTCAATACTTTGCAACATGTAACATTATAAGACAATATCCCATAATGTTTTATGTATATTTATGACCTATAAAGCCCTAAACGGCTTGGGTCCTGGCTACCTGAACGAGCGCTTACGTCCGTATATGCCCGACCGCCCTTTGAGATCTGCGGGAGAGTCCCTTCTCCGGGAACCCT